GGGTTATCGCCCGTCTAGGGGGTAACGAGGTTCTATTTCATGGGGCGCTCGCACGTCTAGGGAGCTACTAGGTGATATTTTATGGGGTTATCACCCGTCTAGGGGGTAACGAGGTTCTATTTCATGGGGCGCTCGCCCGTCTAGAGGGCTACTAGGTGATATTTTATGGGGTTATCACCCGTCTAGGGGGTAACGAGGTTCTATTTCATGGGGCGCTCGCCCGTCTAGAGGGCTACTAGGTGGCTATGTTATGGGGTGCGAGTAAAGGAAACATTAGAAGATATCAGCCACTGAATGTTAAGATATGATATAAATGTTTTTAAGAATGTTAAGATATGATATAAATGTTTTTAAGAATGTTAAGATATGATATAAATGTTTTTAAGAATGTTAAGATATGATATAAATGTTTTTAAGAATGTTAAGATATGATATAAATGTTTTTAAGAATGTTAAGATATGATATAAATGTTTTTAAGAATGTTAAGATATGATATAAATGTTTTTAAGAATGTTAAGATATGATATAAATGTTTTTAAGAATGTTAAGATATGATATAAATGTTTTTAAGAATGTTAAGATATGATATAAATGTTTTTAAGAATGTTAAGATATGATATAAATGTTTTTAAGAATGTTAAGATATGATATAAATGTTTTTAAGAATGACCAGATCAGTTTGTAAGTCATTAACCCATACTCTCCTGGGGACCAGATCAGTTTGTAAGTCATTAACCCATACTCTCCTGGGGACCAGATCAGTTTGTAAGTCATTAACCCATACTCTCCTGGGGACCAGATCAGTTTGTAAGTCATTAACCCATACTCTCATGAGGACCAGATCAGCATCCAGTCCATGGAAGAAGGTCGAGATTTTATATTGTCCAGAAAAATTATGGCCATAATTGTGGCTTATTTATCATCTAAATACCACATTCCTACCACAGTATTTTGTACAGTAATCTTATGTATTTACCACATAGGCCTTGACATGGGGCAAATGCAGAAAAGCAAACAGGGTGAAGAGGGAAAAGGTTAAAATGAATTTCCGTATCAGCAAGGAATCACATAGAATGTCATTTATGGGAAGATGGTGTGCCGGGAAATAAAAATGTAACGTTCACAATACAATGACATCATATGCTATAATTAGACATGTGCTGGTGTTTACATTTAAATTCAGACTTAGTCATAAAAATGTGGGTATCGTGTATATATAATGCTGTAACTGTAATGTGATGTTGTTTTTCCATTGACATTCGGAAAGTTTTTTTAAAAAAAACGTAAAAAAAAAAAACATGCAAGATTTTAGCAAAAAATAATCACTGAAGAAGAAAATAATCATTGAAGAAGAAATTAATCATTGAAGAAGAAATTAATCATTGAAGAAGAAAATAATCATTGAAGAAGAAAATAATCATTGAAGAAGAAAATAATCATTGAAGAAGAAAATAATCATTGAAGAAGAGCGCCAAACGCCATTTTTTCTGACAATAAGATGACATGATGGGGGACATAATCCCTTGTTCAAATTGAATGACATCGGTGGTCTCCAAGACAAAGGGGTCAACGGTGACTGAAAAATCTCACGCGGTTCATTGATTAAGAAAAAGTTGAGAAGTTTAGACCATTTACCTGCGTACCCCAGCATGGGTTTCATATCACGTGATAAAGTGACCATGAAATATTTTAGCATGTGCTGATACCCCTATTAAATAAAATCAGTCGTGCACGTGTTTAGGGTAAGAGAAATGTCAAATACCATGTGGTTGTGTTATAAAATAGTTAGTAAATACCATGGGGTTGTGTTATAATATATAACAAAAGCATAAATGTATCAGCTGTTCGCCGTCAATCAAGACACAGAGAGAGAGAGAGAGAGAGCACACAAATCTGAGCAAGCAAAAGGTAAAAGCTGCTTTGTTAAAGGTTATATCGTGACAGTCGTCATTGTTCCCGCAGAAAGCGTCATAAACACGTTGCATTGAGCAAAGCCCAATAGTCTAGCCAGTGGGTCTCAAGCTATTCCTTTATATTCTTTAATGGAGACAAATAAATCGATGCTTATTTGTATTACGCTGTCGCCCCCCACATGTTCATTTAACGCATGTTACATTTTTTTAAACCACATAAGTTAAACATTCTGATCAAAAAAAGTCATTTTAAACCAGAACATTTTTAACTCAAGAGATTTTTAATTTATTCACCAAGAGCCAAAAAAAAAAAAAAAAAAAACATTTCCGTCAAACCTCAGTTCTTAACACCAATACCAGTAGTGATTTTTAGAGGGTAAATTCTATTTTCTAACAGCCGGGGTCGTATTCTGGTGATTCGTATCAAAGATAACAATGTTCAAAGATTTAAAAAGCAATCATTGAGAAGCACTGCTTTAGACACATTATAGCCATAGTTATTTGATACCATATTTTGCGTTCTGTACGGTAAATTATGAGTGCAAATTATTGCGCTACTGGTTTCTAGTGCACGGTTATTACAGTTGCACATGAAATGAACTTAGCGTTCAGTTGGTGAGACTGGAATGTTAACATGTATTCTTGAAGGTCTTGTTAGCAAAACCCGAGTAACGCTAAATATAAAATAAAATGTGTTAACATTCGCTGACTTGAATGTATAGGTAATTTTATAAGATGTTGACATCGCTTCAAAAGTTGACAACTTGACTTCAGTGATGCAGAGAAAGATATGAAGAACATTCTCTAAACTGTGTGGTTTTGGGGGGGGGGTTTGTTGTTGTTTTTTCTGGCATCCTTCTGTCACAATGAGACGTTTGTGTACACTTCGCCGGATGAAATTCACAACTTACGTGATTATTCTTACTAGGATTATCATCTGGTTCCCTACACGGTAAATCTCTTCTCTCTTTGGAAAACCCAAAGGTAACATCATGAGGATGGTACAGATAGGCACTAGTGGCGTCGCAGGAGTTATCGGAATGTTTCATTGTGTAATTGTAATCCGCCTACGGGACTCCATCTCATTGTTCAGAGTTTCCTTTTCTTAGCTGAGTTGCTATCCAAGATCAACGCGTCCCATCCAACCACGGTGCTGGTGATGTTTTTTGCTTCACTGAGCTATAGTGGGGATTCCAGACCACGAAGTTGAGATTGATTCATTTTAGACCACTCGGCCACCTAGCACCCAAGTGGTAGACCAGTCGGCCACCCAGCACCTCAGTTGCTAGAACACTCGGCAACTCAGTACCCAAGTGGTAGACCAGTCGGCCACCCAGCACCTCAGTTGCTAGAATACTCGGCAACCCAGCACCCAAGTGATAGACCAGTCGGCCACCCAGCACCCAAGTGGTAGACCAGTCGGTCACCCAGCACCCAAGTGGTAGACCAGTCGGCCACCCAGCACCTCAGTGGCTAGACGACCCGGCAACCCACCACCCAACTGGTAGCCCAGGCGGCCACCCACCACCCAAGTGGTAGACCACTCGGCCACCCAGCACCCAAGTGGTAGACCAGTCGGCCACCCAGCACCTCAGTTGCTAGAAGACTCGGCAACCCAGCACCCAAGTGGTAGACCAGTCGGCCACCCAGCACCCAAGTGGTAGACCAGTCGGGCACCCAGCACCCTAGTGGTAGACCAGTCACGCACCCATCACCCAAGTGGTTATAGATCGCCGATATTTTACTGGTTTCCAGATTCTCTTGAGATGCTACCCCATTTTAAGTGATCCTTAAAAACCAGGGGGAAAATATGCTTTTTTCTAAGGGTCAAAAAACCCTCATCGAAAATAGATGTTTCCGTATCCATATCATATAATTTGATAGATAATATAATTTCATATATAATAAAATTTGATTATGTTAATAATGGTATGCAGTTTTAATTGACCAAATATTTAACTCATTGATTGAAAATGTATCTCGTTACCAGGGCTTTTACAGTCGTGTAAGTGTTCAGAGCTTCAACAGCCGTTTAAGTTTTCGTTGATTCACATTTCACATCTTTTTTTTGTTTGTTTTTTTGTTTTTTGTTTTTTTTAAGTTTTCAAATGAAGAATAGCTGAAAGCATTTCCTGTCACAGTTATTGTAGAAGCCAATGGGAGGGAATGTCATGATGTTAGTCAAACATTAGGGAAACAGAGCTTTGCAATAATCATTCATTTATTTTTTCACTGTTCATCGGCTACCCCGTACGAGGTTGTAAACTTGGGTACATCAGAGAGAAGGAAAATGCCGCCCGCTTTACAAAATATGCCACCCAGGGTGGACCGCGCCCTCCGCCCGTTTCCTTACGCCCCTGGCAACTGTACGTGAAATAAACGTGACCTTGGGGACTCGATTACTTGTTGGTGAGCTCTTGCGTGATAACGTGAAGTCTAAAACACATTTTCCTGACGTTTTGTTGTTGTTAGAAGAGCCCGCTATAACTCGCTGCGAAGTTTCTATAGCCCACAGTATGTTTGTCTGTTTGTTTAGAAGGACTGAATACAATGACACAGATTCACTTTTTCAAGGTCTAAATGATTAAGGCAAAATTAAAGCAAGGTTCACAAATTTATTTTTTAAAAATATGCAATTGATAGATAAAATAACACACTTTATGCATCCCATATTATTCTCAGATTTAAAACAACAAAAAATCCATACAGCTCACATACTCCAAATGTATTATTATCACATGATCCATTCAGCGCCTATAAGCTATTTTTATCACATTGTTCATACGGCACACAAATGACATCCATATATCATAATCCATATTTAACATATAATCCTTTCCTCACACATAATCCAAATGTATCACATATTCTTTTTAAGCATAAATAATCCACATTAATCAGATTACAGCCCATGTTGCCCATAATTTCCTACGGATCTAATCGTCTGTGCTCTAAGCACTTTATGCCACCCATCCACCCTCCCAACCCACCCGCCCACCCACCCACCCTCTTTAAAAAAAACAAATTAATAAAAAACGATGGTTGAAATCCTTCACTGTGACATCCCCTCCCCCCTCCCCCCCAACCCTAGGCCACCCGCCCGATGTCTCATCTACCCACCAAACTAGTGATGAAGTTTCTAATCACGCAACCAAAGCCGAGTTTGTCTAGCGGCAAAGAAATTTCTCAAGCAACCCCCCAAGAATTTAAGGTTATAAACCAATCAAACACCTTGTAACTGCGCAACGTATCAAAACTCCTTTCACATGTAAACATTCACCCTCCTTCAAATCCATTCATGTGTCCGTGATAATTTGGGTAAAAACAGACCAGCAATGAATAACAATTTTTAAAAAAAGCTAAAAATGACATGTATAATATCTATATTATTTTAAAAATTTAGCATCCGATTGAAGGCACTGAGCTCGTTAGTGTTATATTGTATTCAGATATCAGACGTCATATTGTTTTCATACGTCATCCATTGACGTCATCATGCAATTAGTAGTCAAACAGTGATGTGTCCATAAAATTTAGATCTGGTCAAACTTTCTTCGCCTTAGTAGGTCAAGGTCACAAGAGCATTGTCACCTCCAGAAACTGTCGAGACAAATATGCGTTGTTTTTTTTAATGAAATAGCACCAACAATGACATAAGAAAAAAATTCATGTTTGGCTAAAAATATAAAGAGCGTATTAATCCTGAACTTTGTAGCAGCTTAAGCTCGACTTTTTGGCTCTCATCTCTCACACAACTTCACAACTAGGCCTATATGACTACAACATAAGCTATAATAAAATAGTTTACAACACGTGCGTCCATAAAAAAAAACATTTCTAACGTTCAAGTCTATAGCAGCCTAAAATCATTCACACAATTGTATCTATAAGGTTGTACCTTGTTCATGGAAAACTCCACGGCTTCTCCACTAACACCCCGTGACCTTTGCTCTGCTCGGAACGAGCCTGGAATTAAAATAAGGGGGTGACAAAGTCATACATTGTGTATTATGTTACGTTCATTGTGACAAGGGAATGTTATGGTTATCGTTACGGTGGTATCTGTATGGCGCAAGTTCGCATTTGCTGGCCCAACATTTTGGAACACACTTCCTGTCGCTCTCAGAAGCAGCCAGACACTGGAGTCTTTCAAAACCGATTTGAAAAAATATCTTTTTCGCAAACACCTGTTGGGGTGAATTAGTCTACAATCTTTTCCAGCTAACTATTATCTCCTAGATGTATATTGGCCTGTGTTGTTTATGGTTGCAAGGGATAGAAGAATTAGAATGGGTATTCTCGTATGTAGTTTTTGCAATGTTGCGTTTGGTATTTCAATCTGATAAAATATAGATTTTTTATTTATTTTTTTTAAAATGGATGACTTTGTACCGCGCATCGAGCCCTTGGGGATGAAGCGTGATTTTTAAATAAGCTTTATTAGTATGATTATTTATGTTATGTGCATTGTGTTGTGGCTATAGTTTGATTTATCGTTACAATAATATACGTTTTTTTAGTGACAGTGATTTAAATTGTTTGTGAACAAAATGATTATGGGACAAAACGTTTAATTTTTGTTCAGCTTAATACACAATAACTAAAATTGTAAGCACAAACCGGAGCTAGCGTTCTTAAAAAAAAAAACAATATTAAAACATCCAAATTAATAATAATTAAAATGCTGTAACAAGAAAAGAAAGAACACTCCGCATTTTTTTTAAAGCTAGTTATCTTTCTTTGCGTTTAGCATGTATAGGGGTACAGCCACATCATATGCGCATTCATAACATGTGTTGTCATAGTTTGGCGAATTAAATATGGCTTGAAATACCATGAATTGAAAGGAAAGGAATTTTTCAGATTAAATATTAAATTTCAATATATTTATATATAGGCCTATATATATATATATATATATATATATATATATATATATATATATATATATATATATATTTGTGTGTGTTTTTAAATGAAAATTAACAATAAAATAAACAAAGGGGAATGACTCCTGCATCAATATTGAATAAAAACGCAAATGACGTCTTGAGCACGCACGGCGCTCATATATAATTGGGTCTGTTTTTATTAGCCTACTTATCTAAATGAAATCGAGTTTGGAAACAATAAATATGATTTTGGAACCCATCCATTTGAAAAAAATAGGTGGCGCTCATGGGCAAGCATACTCTGTTTTACCAAAATTCGTTTTGTTTATCATTTATAATATTTTATATCAAGCATTAGGAGTTTACTATTTATAAATAATATCTAAATACATGGTTAAAGGTACGTTAGCTGAACTTTATCTGAGATTAACCTCACCAAATAATGATGTCAGTTTACAGATGGCCATGATGAAATCTTCCAATGTTATGGTCCTGTCCCTTCCACCGTACCGTCTCACTATAGAAGCCAGGACCGGGGTGCTGATGGAAAACCCTGGAAGTGTAGCGATAATGATGTTAAAAAAAGGTTTAAACATTTTTTTTTACCTGAAACGAGCTTTGACTGGTTTTTTCAAAATATGCAAGACCCAAAATGTCTCTAGGATCAGCTTGTAAAAAATGAGTCAAATTTTTTTATAGACAGCTTTGTCTGGTGAAATGGTTCAATCATTTCTTTAAAGCAGTGATGATGTCGGGGCTAAATTTGCAATTTTAAAAAAAAAAATAGTAAAGATTGTGTTGACCATATTTTATTATTAAAAAAACAAGCATCGCACCTAAATCAAGTATTTCTATTATTGCATAGTATGCTAACCGAAGCTAGACCATTTATTTTAGTTACCTAGTCTTGAGAACATGTCTCTGAGTTCATAGGTGTCCACTGAGTTGGTGTTGTTTTTATCAAACTGTTGGAAGATCGCCTGTACATAGTGGAGGACATTCAACAGTCACAAAGCATAATTTTACACTAGTGCATTATCTTTAAATACAATGTTTGGTCAATAACATCCCCTGTCAGCAACGCATCATGATGTGCATAAAACTATTGTACTTTTAGCTTCAGTTAATTCATAGTCCGTTACAAGGATGATCTAATCAATTTATACAAAGTTGCTATAAAAAAACTTGATAAACGATAAGTCAAACTACCAACTAACCTTGCAAAGCCTTTCTATCAGTCTTGTTACCAACTAACCATGCAAGCCTTGCTTTCAGTCTACCAACTAACCATGCAAGCCTTTCTATCAGTCTTGCTACCAACTAACCATGCAACCCTTGCTTTCAGTCTACCAACTAACCATGCAAAGCCTTTCTATCAGTCTTGTTACCAACTAACCATGCAAGCCTTGCTTTCAGTCTACCAACTAACCATGCAAGCCTTTCTATCAGTCTTACTACCAACTAACCATGTAAGCCTTGATTTCCTTCCAAGCGCTCCTTGCTTCCTCAAAGCTTAAGAACCCAGACTTGTCCTCCTGGAGTTTGTTGTAAGGAACAGAGTTGCAGCAAAATCTTAACCATGAAACGCTTTAAAGTGTTACCGTGCCTGTTGTAGCTTCTTGTCATCCTTCCCGAAGAAAGGACAAAAGCCTCCCCATAGTAAGTGATCTCTGTAATAGTTACCTTAAGTGTAACTTCTACGTCTTCCCCTGGCAGACATTTTCACACTCCTTATTTTGAGTCATGAGTCAAATATTCTTTTCCTTGTCAAATTATTTGAACTCTGACACATTTTTAAACCACACCCCATATCTGCCCCCCCCCCCCCCCCCTTTTTTTTATTTTTTTTTTTTCACTCCTTATTTTGAGGCATTAGTCAAAAATTCTTTTCCTTTTTAAATTATTTGAACTCTGACACATTTTTTAACCACCCCCCTTTTCTTCCCCCCCCCCCCCCTCATTTTTTAATATTTTTTTTTTATCCCTGTTTTCCCTTTCCTAGAGATACGCCCCTGAGACAATTATTACTACAGTTTGAGTTTCAGCTTGGTCCTAAAATCTAATCAGCACCCAGGTCCCTGTAAAAACACCACTGGGTCAAAGGTCAAGGATACGTCCATCAGAGCCAACAATGTCCGACAAGATTCTAGAGGAAACTGTAAAGTGGCCTGCAGCTCTGTGGTGATAAAATACTTGTGAACAGGAACGACAACCCACAATGAAATCGTTTTAGAAAAACCACGGGTCAACATGCTTTTTTTTTAATAGCATGATTGTCAAAGGTATGAGAACCACTGCTGTCAGTATGAACGCTGTTTGGGTCCGTGCGTTGTGTCATGGGTGTTGTGATTGTGTCATGGGTGTTGTGATTGTGGCATGGGTGTTGTGATTGTGTTATGGGTGTTGTGGTTGTGGCATGGGTGTTGTGATTGTGTCATGGGTGTTGTGATTGTGTCATGGGTGTTGTGATTGTGTCATGGGTGTTGTGGTTGTGGCATGGGTGTTGTGATTGTGTTATGGGTGTTGTGGTTGTGGCATGGGTGTTGTGATTGTGTCATGGGTGTTGTGATTGTGTCATGGGTGTTGTGATTGTGTCATGGGTGTTGTCATTGTGTCATGGGTGTTGTCATTGTGTCATGGGTGTTGTGATTGCGTCTGAATGATTGTTGGATGACAGGAATAGCATAATAAACAAGTGTGTGGATGTAAGGCGTGAGATGGAGAGAGTGGAAGGAGAGAGTGGAAGGAGAGAGTGGAAGGAGAGAGTGGAAGGAGACAGAGTTGACTAAGGAGTTAGTCATGAGACTTTCGTGAGTGATAGCTGCTCTGTTAGGATAGACAGTGTAGTTATAAGGAGATCCTGTATCTCGGTGAATCTACGTGGCAGATGTACGAAATAAAGAAGAACCCAAGTCATTAATAAAGTGTCTGTGTTCCAATATTCGGTGTCCCTGGGCATTCGTTAATAGACATCGTTGCAGAGTACCATCGAAAAACGATGATAGAGTATGCTCGACTAGAGTACCGGTAATAGAGTATTTTGGCAAAGATAAACTTTCATATTACTGACCATCTTGCCTTCCATGTTACTAACATCTGCCCCCCCCCACAACTAAACCCTTTAGTTGTTTAATGACTCGCTCACCTATCGTTGCAGTCTCCGTGAGGAAGCCCCTGAGCTCATGAGCATCCATTTTCCTGTCATTGCCCGCGTACCTGTCGTACGTCTCAGAAAGAAGATCTTTGCTGGTCATCCTGGCAGGCTTCAGCTGTCAATAAGCAGGGACGGGTCATTCGAAGAACTTACACAGTACAGTCACGTGACATTTAACGTTATTATACGTTTTATTACAATTTGAATTGATCAAACTTATTAACTAACGTCGTGGGTTTTTTTTTAATGTTAAATTGTTTTCAAGTCTTTCTCAGGTTCCAGTCTTATTTTGTACAGTGAAAGTCCTTTGATAAATTAGTGGTTTTTTCTATTTTTTTTAAATATTGTTTTTTTCATTTACATAATTTATTCATGGTAACTGAATGAGTATTCTTAATCGGTCGCCAACCTTTTTGACATCACAATGGTTTGTGGAAGGCAATTTTTTCCACAACCATTAAAAAATGGTTTGTGCAAGACTATTTTTCCATGACCGGCACCACAGTGGTTTGTGGGAGACACTGTTTCCATGTCCGGGGGATAGAGACGTTTTAGTTTTGATTCCAGGGTCAAAAAAGCGCGCGCTCCATGACACGGTTCTGTCCATTTCCTACTACAGGTCCGCGATCCAACGGTTGTGGGCCACTGATTTTAAGGGTATGGAATTGGACTTTCTTAAAGTCTCGACTTTAACTCATTTTTTAGAACCAGAAAAAAAATAAACATGGAGGTGAATAGTTTAATGTCAAAATAAATAACTGTGATACGGTTGTTGTTTTTTTTTACTTACGGGAATATTTGTGCTCACATCAAGGTATCTGTGGAAGAAGTGGAACTATTTAGATGTATATTAAAAATCATTCTAACTTATACCACAATAAATATCTGATAATTGGGTGTGGGGACAATGTATCAAATGAGAAATTGAATCTTTGAGAGGAGGAAAAAATTCATGTGTGTCTTTATGTGATAACAATTATAGTCGGAGACACACAGAAAATATTTGAACATGAAGAGATACAAAAGAAAATTATAATAATAAAAGTGGCGGGGAAAGGATCTGGCCACATGCGGGCTACAACAGTAGGATGCGCATGGAATGTTTCTATTCAAATTATCTAAAATTAAACTCTTTAAATCACGAGGGTTATGTATGAAATTTATTCAGATATTTAATAGGGTGGGTATTTATAGATGCTGCCATTTGATGAATTGCATTCGTAGGAATGGACGCATTCTGAACTTTGAACTCAAGCTGAAGCAACAACAAAAAAAATTTTTTTTAAATGTCGGATGGATTTATTAGTTGCCGAATTTACTATTTTCTCCACTTTTACTTTAGCTCATAATAAAGTGTTGAACTCAGGCAAACTGGGCTGCGATAATTATTATACAACTCCTTACAGACCACCAATGACGGCCGCAATGCATGAACTTCTCATCTACAAAAGTTACTTGACAAAACACGCATTCAAGTATGCACTTCACAAGATTCCCAATAAGTGCTACCCCCCCTTTTCCTGATATGCCGCCGCCCCTGAACCGTATTAATATTCTTCAGCCCCACCCCTGTCCCATCGCAGCTTTATTGCACAAACTTTTCCCGTAAAAGAAAAGACAATAATACGCACCAAATTCAAGTGTGGTATTTTTTCAGAAACTCCTTTAGGGCTCTTATCGGTAATTTTATGTTGCGCCTTGTTGAACTTTAGTGACAGTGATGGACATGGTTACATAGAAATGTATTCATAGTTCGTCAGTCGAAATCGACAATGAAAACCTTAAAATCCTGGTATATGCTGATTGTGATCTTCGCTGTGGGTGCACAGATGGATGATGAGGCCGATTCTGGCACGAAATGTGTGTATGGTGATATTAAATTTCACAAGTTGTCCAGTGGAGGAATGATACCAACCGAGCAAAAATACAAGGCGATTTAAATGAGGCAACATGGTTATCCTGTTAAGAGCATTAAGTCTTTCTTGAATATTTATCAGGAGGATGGATATAAACTACGTGCTTTACGAAACGGGCGAAATTTCTGAGATGTAGCATGAAGTTAAGCTATTTGATTTGAACATACGTGACATTGAGGCAACATTGAACAGATGGGACATTTATGTGATGTTGAGATAACATTGAACAGATGTGACATTTATGTGACATTGAGATAACATTGAACAGATGTGACATTTATGTGACATTGAGATAACATTGAACAGATGTGACATTGAGATAACATTGAACAGATGTAACATTGAGATAACATTGAACAGATGTGACATTTATGTGACATTGAGATAACATTGAACAGATGTGACATTGAGATAACATTGAACAGATGTGACATGTATGTGACATTGAGATAACATGGAACAGATGTGACATTGAGATAACATTGAACAGATGTGACATTTATGTGACATTGAGATAACATGGAACAGATGTGACATTGAGATAACATTGAACAGATGTGACATTTATGTGACATTGAGATAACATGGAACAGATGTGACATTGAGATAACATTGAACAGATGTGACATTTATGTGACTTTGAGATAACATTGAACAGATGTGACATTGAGATAACATTGAACAGATGTGACATTGAGATAACATGGAACAGATGTGACATTAAGATAACATTGAACAGATGTGACATTGAGACAACATTGAACAGATGTGACATTGATGTCTCTTACCCAGCGGCCACCGGTTGTTCAGTAAACATTCTGAGAATGAACTCGGCTTCCCGTCGTGGCGAGTGGGTGCTGGGAATGACCACATATGTGCCCGGAGGAAGCTGGAAACGTTTGGTCATTTCCCGTCGTTCCACAAACTCTCCAGTCGAGCCGACAAACTGCAGGGAGCTCTTGTCTGCTATCGTGTTCACAAATTGGGGATTGTACAGCTGTGTGGGGGTGGGGGGATAACATTTTACCTCTTTATTGTGTGTATATGAAAAAACAAACCACAAATGTATATGTGTGTCTTCTAAAACACGGGCTCTTAACCAGATGTGCCCGCAGGCCCTTGAGGTGCAGGAGGCAGTGTCAGGGGGTGTCAGAATATTCATAAATGCAGTTTATTTGCATTTTTATAATTTTTTTTATCGTAGGATTGTGGGGGGAAGGGAATATGTTTTGACATCATGAGGGGGCGCCATGCTGCAAAAATGTTAAGAACCCCTGTTTTAAAATAATGAAACGAATTTTCGGTAGACAAACAATGTCCTAAGCAAGAAATGATATTTATCTACCATCTTGCCTTTGTTGGAAATTAATTTGCTCTGGTCAACTTACAGATCCATTCTTCTTAAAATACATTACTGGGAAGGGATCAGATAACAAAATTTAAAGACATTCTCAGAGACAGCCCCCATCCACCCCTACTCCCATGGCCCAGCCACGTAGCTCAGATGGCAAATAGTCTCCCTCGTAAAACAAGCGTCTTGACTATCCACAGAAAAAAACTTTACAAACTATTTCCATGACTAAGATCACCGTGGTGGGTTTCCCCGTGCAGTCAATATTCGAAAAGGAACCAACAGAGTTAAACAGAAGCCCAGCAACACCGGTCTGCGTGGTGATGGCCGGTCTGCGTGGTGATGGCCGGCCTGCGTGGTGATGGCCGGTCTGCGTGGTGATGGCCGTGTGATGATGAAACCTAAAGAAAGGTAATTTGTACCGTGGCATGCTTTAGTTCACATCGTCCACTGCTTCCGGTCACCTACAGTGACACGATGCTGTAACACGTACCTCGTAGACTTTGAAACCTATAGCGATATCCGATGAGTGGTTTTTCTCCTTCTTCATTAAGGAAACGATCAGGGTGCATGTGTTTGATGATCCCAGGGTGGAATCCACGGAGCTCAGCGTGATTTGAAACTGGGGATTTTTCCAGAACAACTCTGGAAAAAAATTTATCAAACGATGTCATGTGACATAGATTTTAAAACCCACATTCAAAGTCTTGGCGTGGGCCCTGCAACCACACAGCTGCAGGTGAGTGTGGGTGTGTGTGGGGGGGGGGGGCTCCGATTGTTAAGGGACCTAAAGTTGGGATGTGGACAACTCTGGAAAAAAATTTATCAAACGATGTCATGTGACATAGATTTTAAAACCCACATTCNGGGGGGGCTCCGATTGTTAAGGGACCTAAAGTTGGGATGTGGACATTTAAAAAAAAAAAGAAAAAAAACTATTAACCTTGAATGCACGTGGCACAAAACACCGAAAAGTGGCAGAGGACCTCTAAGGTCACGCAACAGCTCTGCACACGTGACACATTTAATATTAATGACACCCCTCCCTATTCTGTTCGATAAGTATATATTTTTTTTTTTTTTTTTTCTGCACCTAAGTAAAAGCGTTATGTCTGAATTGGCAAGTGATCTAAGGTCAACACCGAGTTATATCTACTTACCTCTGTCAGGTGAGTTCCCACATCCCCCAGCTGAAACGCCCTTGATCCAACTCCCGTGGTAAACAGTGGCAATCCACTGCTGCTTTTTCTAAGGTAAATCAGCGAAACCAGCGAGACTTTTACAGTATCACGTTTACATGGGATATAATTACAATAATACATGTAGAATAAACGTAATTACAAAAATTAAAACAATCTTACTATGAACATAATTACTGTAATAGCAATAAATCTGTTACGATCTTATATTAGTTAAAAAGAATATAAATTAAAAATCTATAAAAAATTTTTAGAATTTATTATTTGTTATTATAGTATTACCAAAAATAACAAATTATTCTGATATTTTTCTTAAAACTTGTTATTTTCTTACAGACCTCAGCGACCGGCGCAGTTAAATAATTTCAAGAAACGAATGCATTTATATTTGAACTGACTTTGCTGTCCGCCAATTGGTCAATGAAAGCTTCTGGGTAAAGATGGCACAGTTGGATCTCATCGAAGTTGGTGGCAAAATCCTCAAATGAAATCCTATAAAAAAAAATAAAGCCACCAGTCAGTGATTTGCTGTCACCGATTCATTCAAGTTTTTGCTTAAAAAAAACAGAAAATGTTTTTGTTCTGTCTTGTTGTTGAGGTTTGAACAAAACTAATCACATCAATCAAATGTGGCATTTAGTTGAAATAAAAACAAATTACAGGGTGTTCTTTGTTGTTGTGTTGTTTTTTTTTATCAATGTAAGTATATTAGTATGCAAGGCTCCCCCCCTCCTACCCCCGGAGGGCCTAAGATTTGTGCCGCCCCCTTTTACACAAAAAAGCAATTATACAGTTGGCCGAAAATTTTCCCCCCCCCCCCCCAACATTTCAAAAGAAAAAGGTGCTTGCCTGGGGTGGAACCCCCAAATACCAACCCCCACTTCCCCTCAGTCGTCCTTCTTAAATCACTGGTGTATGTTGACTTTCTCAATAATAATATTTGAATGATAATAAATTATTTATCAGTGGTAGCTTCCCTGTGTAGGCCTAGAGTTATTGATTGTCCACTCACCAGTAGGCCTAGAGTTATTGATTGTCCACTCACCAGCAGGCCTAGATTTATTGATTGTCCACTCACCAGTAGGTCTTCAGTTGTTGATTGTCCACTCACCAGCAGGCCTAGAGTTATTGATTGTCCACTCACCAGCAGGCCTAGATTTATTGATTGTCCACTCACCAGAATTCCCCGTCATCCTTGTCTGTGAACTCCAAGTCGTGTCTCATCTCTGGGGACAAATCTCTCATCTGGGGAGACCTGCAAGTAGTCGAAGTACCTAAAGATTACTGCAACATTTCATAACGGCGGTGTTACGTTAATGCACTGTAATCATTCTGGGGTGGGGGGGGGTGTCTTGCCAGTATGTTTTTAACTTGTTTGGTTTCACACAAATTTGCTTTAAAAGCGTTTGAAAGTGAAATAAATTATGACATGTCAGCTGCTTTAATGACAGGTGAGAGGATTCTATGACATGTAAGTGAATTCTATGACACGTGAGTGCATTTTCTACAAATTTTCTGAGCATTTGGTGTATTTTGGGAAAAAATAAATCCAATAAAGAATATGTCAACATCAAGCTCATCTGTCAAGTTTGACTTACTTTATTTGTACATTTTTTTAAAAGACATGTTTTCCTTCCAAGCGTGGTCAGAGAAACTAAACAATTTTATGCATCTGTTTTATTGTCGATGGGCTGGGGAAGGCTGTGACATTATGATAGACTGTAGAGGGCTGTGACAATAGATGGGTAGCAGAAAGATGTGACAATAGATGGGCAGGAGAGGGCTGTGACATAGAATAGGCTGGGGAAGGGTTTGACATATGATAGGCTGGGGAGGGCTGTGACAATAGATGGGCAGGAGAGGGCTGTGACATAGAATAGGCTCTGGAAGGTTGTGACAATAGATGGGCAGGAGATGGATGTGACAATAGATGGGCAGGAGAGGGCTGTGACAATAGATGGGCAGGAGAGGGCTGTGACATAGAATAGGCTGGGGAAGGTTGTGACAATAGATGGGCAGGAGATGGATGTGACAATAGATGGGCAGGAGAGGGCTGTGACAATAGATGGGCAGGAGAGGGCTGTGACATAGAATAGGCTGGGGAAGGTTGTGACAATAGATGGGCAGGAGATGGATGTGACAATAGATGGGCAGGAGA